TTATGTAGAAAGGATCATTATGGAGTTGCCAGGTCGTTAATTACATTGGGTTCTTCCACTCGCGATGTGAGTCATTTCCATGAAGCAGCGAAGATCATGGTGAGAGATAATGCAGTAAAAAGTGCATTAAAATGCTTCAAATGTCCTTTGCTCATATCTGTACATCAGCCAGAGCTACAGCTGATTCCAAAAGGGCACTGCCAATTTAAATCAATAAATTTTTACTGGTTCGGCTGTGGCCCGTATAGATACTCAGAGTCGAGGCAGGGGGCTGGTAGCACACTCGTTGTTGATGCTCAGAAGTATTAAAGTTTAATAGACTCTCCAGTCCCATTCTGGCTGGCTGGCGTGCTGGTGCAAATCCTGAGCTGCTCTGTTGCTGTCAGCGGAGGGATGCAGGTGTGCGAGCAGAATCTGGCCCTCCGTGCCTTATTTACCACTTGAACCACCTGCTTTAGGAGATAAAGCAGCTGCTATCTCTCTAGCTTTAAATGTGACATTCAGCCAGTCATGTGCCTGGTCCCCTCATCACTTTAGATGCTTGTTGATTTTTTCTTAAATGTCAGAAGAGTTTTTAAACTTCATTTGGATGCGGCTGCCAAGCGGCGGTGGCAGCGCTGTCACCTCCCGCGAGGTCCCTCTGCCTCCGCACCGGTGCTGCTGGCACGCGGCTGCTGACTGCAGTGCTGAGATGGGGGCAATTAGCCCCCTCCTTTATTAGCAAGGAGAGATTCTTGCTGTCGTTTACCTCCCCTACGAACACCGTTCCTTTTTGCAGGCATCAATCCATGCCTGGGGATGGGCTGTTTTCACCCCATTTTCCTTACAGGTCTTGATAATTAAGAGAGGGACTAGTACCAAGTGCAGGCTGACTTTTTTTTTTTTAAATTATTATTATTATCTTTAATTTAAGGTGCTTGCTCTTAAATGTTTGCCAAAATGTCCCTCAGAACCATGGGCTGCCCTTGGTGTGAAGCGATATAAGCTCAGGTCCTAGCTCTGCGCCCGGGACAGTAAGCAAATGGGTCCCCTCCATCTCTCTTTCAGCCCTGGGAGGCTCCTAAGTGAGGCTGAACTTGGCCTGGTCAAATATTTTCTGCTCTCTGGCTGTTTGCCTTGTCTTGTGGAAGTGGTTTGTGGCTGGGCCAGCATCTGACTCCCACCACCTCAGCCTCATCGCTTCAGGAGGTGACGTGCTATGGATGTGTTATCGAGGCACTGCTTGGCACTACCCTTGGGCAGCCTTAGGAAAAGAGGCTGTAGCTGTTTTTTGGAGAGACCTGCCCTGCTCAGGGTACCAGGAATGGGTATCAACGAGGTTGGTCTATGAAAAGATCATTTGCAAGGTCTCCCTGGTGGTTGTTCTTGAACACTGGGGGCTTGTGGAAGGGATCAGGTGCAGGTTTCATCTCTGTGGCTCCAGCTCCCTGCTGCTGCTGTTGCCAGTTCTGACGAACGCTTCCCTGTGCTGTCTGTGTCCCTGCTCTGGAGGTGAAGCTGGGAGAAGCTTCATCAATGCCAAGGAAGCTCTGGGAATGGGTGGCTGCTGGCTGCATGCTCTGGAGCTGCTGGCACTGAAGGTGGTGCGGGGAAAGCTGGGTTTTCTAAGGCTTCATACCCACGTTAGGTTGGGATAATAAATATTTTGCAAAGGAAAAGTGATCCCTGATCCCCTGTTCACTTCAGTGTTCTCCCTAAGCTCCATCATACTGATCTGGTGGTGCATCTCTTCTCTTGGACCCTCCTCTCTCCTTGGAGGTGATGGCATCAGGAGGAAGAGGAGGCTTCTAATCTCAATTTCCAGAACAATCCCTCATGGTGTGTCTGGGGAGAAGAGCAAATGGAAAGCTCTTGGAGGCTCTTAGCTCTGTTTCTGCTTGCTCTCTGCTCGGGCTGGGTGATTTGTTCAGCCCTGGCTGTATCTGGGAAGGCAATCCATCCTGAGCCATGCTCACCCATGGCTTGCTGGAGCCCTGTCAGTCTATGAATTTATAAAACTAGAGGAAAAGTTTCTTCTGCATGGAAAAGACAATTCTCAATTATCAGCGTGGCTACCTGGGGGGATTTAAGATTATAGAGGACTTCAAAGCACGTTGAACATGGAGCTGATCAGCAGCTGCTCTGTGCCAGCATTGCTTTATATCACTGGAGACCATCCCAGAGACAGGTTGGGGCAGCTTTTATAAGGCCATGGGGACAGATCTGTGGGGTGTCAGCAGGGGGCTAAGATGCGGGGTTTGTTGTGAGTCAGAGGATGCTGAGCCAGAGGGAACATGAGGAGGAGGAGGAGGAGGATGGGTGATGCATGGCTGCAGCACATCGGGTGCTGCTCTCACACGATTTACAGCGTTTGCAGCAGCACCCGAGCTCCTGACCTGAGCTCTGCTCCGGAGAGGGGCAGGGCAGGCTGTGGGGCAGGCACAAACGCGCCGTGTCTAATCACGAGCTCAGAGCCTTCACCATCAAACCTTCAGCTCTTCACAGTCTAATTACAACTTGCCTGGTGCATTGGTTACGATGAGCAATGAAGATATAATCACTGCTGTTATTTGTCCTTCCTGGCTCCAGCTGTTAAAACAATTCCTCCTTCATAGCCCAGCCAATTTCATGGCTCTAATGCGTCCCCGCCGCTCCCAGCCCGCTCCCGCATCCCGTGCGTCGGGCGCGAGGCACCACAATCTCCATGAAAGCAGCCTATTTCCTGCATGAAGCCCGTGAAATTGGGAAGATAATATTTTCAGAGCTGCTGGTACCCTGATTGCATGTTTGTTTGAAATGACAGTTTATGTTGTCTCTCTCTTTCATTAGGGAGGTTCAGCGATCGCGATGTTATTAACTAACAACAGCACTCACTGCATATAAACATGATTCCGCAGAGACACTCCAAGGAGCACTTGAAGGCAGAGGGGAGGGAGATTGAGAAGGAATAGAGATGCTGTGCTTCTTGGCTTTTTTTCCCCTCTCTCCTTCCACTGTAAGGAAGGGTTGGAAGGGGTTTTTAGCTAGATTACAAGCTCAGAAGCGTTTCATTTTGTACTGAGGTTCCCTGACAGCGATGGGAAGCGGAGCAGCGACTCTCCAGTGTAAGATGTCTGGCAATTCCTGCAGCGCCGCGCTCTGCCAGGGCTCGAGGACTTCCGAGAAGCTGCTCCCTGCCTACAGACTGCTGAGCTGGATGGCTCTGAAACAAACCCTCACATCTCCAAATGCTCGCTGCTGGCAGGGCGCAGGCTTGATCCACTCTCTGTGCCTTGAAGGTGGAGAGCTGAGGGTCTGCCTGGTCTCTTTCCAACTCAAATCATCCTTCAGAGCGGGCTGAGCTGCACGCAGTGGGATGCACCGTGCCTTGCTGCAGGTGCCTCCTGGGGTCTGCAGCATCTCCTGAAGGTCCTGCCTCCGCCTGGTACCTCTCGCAGCCCTGCCTCTGCACCAGACAAATGTTGTCACTTAATTAACACAGCATGACTGCAGCCCAGGCAGGCGCTAGCTGGAGCCTCATCGCCAGCCCTGTGAAATCCTCTCTGACAGGGCTGCCTTGCTTGGGGTCTGTGAGGAAAGCCGTGGCTACAGGCTTCTCTTAGTGCACTTTAGTGATGGGAATCAGTGTGGGCTACCAAAACCATTCATTGTGTGCGGAGGAGAGCAGGGATTTTCTTTTTTTTCAGATCTCATAAGCTAAGGATGTGCCTGGATGCTGAGTTTCTGGGGTTTTCGTGGAGCTGTGGCTTCCTGGGGTGCATTAAAAGCCTCGCTGTGCTGCCTAGGGGCAGTTGGGCTGCATGAGCAGCATCCTCCCCCAGGCAGCTGGCAGCGTGGGCTCAAGGTTTAAAAAAAATCCCTACAGCTGGGGGCTGAAGGCTGGCTGTGAGGATGCAATGAAGCAATTCAGCTTTGGCAACTGCCCTGGGAAATAGCTGAGAGAGGCAGCCCTAACCGTGGTGGCAGCGTGTCTGGGTGGGCAGACAAATCCTCGGTATCCTGAGGAAGTGTAAGACAGTCTGGAGGAAATGTGAGATTCGGTGGTAAACCCTCAGCCTAGAAAACAGAGGAGATGCTTAAACCATCAGGACTGGGGCTTGTTGCAGGGGTTTTGCCCTTATCTCTCTCCTGTCTGCATGGTGGAAGAGCAAGATGAATCGTTTTGGCGCGTGCATCAGCACCCGAGCGGCATCGCGGATGTGCTGCTGATTTCCCATGCTGCTGGTGCTGCCTCTTATTAAACATAAATGGCTGTGGAAAGGGCTGGGGGGGCTCTGTTCCGAGGTATGGAGCTTGTTTTAAATGGAGCCAGCAAAGTTGCTGGTAGCCAGGGCTGCCCATTATAAGATCCTGTTTCCAGTGAGTTAACTCTCTGCCAAGTGATAATTGTTCAGGCTAAAAATTTCCATGCTGCAAGTCTGCCTCAGGCTATATGAAATTGGGGAAAGAGGGGTCTTTTTTTTTTTTTTTTGTCTCTTTAAAACAGGAGGAGGAAAAAAAAAAAAAGAACTTTGCAACAGAGCTGAAGGGATCCAGTCTCTCCATGAGATGGAGGCAGAGACTTGGAGTTTGGCAGGGGGATGTGAAGGTTGTTCAGAGCTGAGATTCAGTGGCGGGCAGGAGTAGGAAGAGGAGAGCTGGGTCTGGTGAGAGATAACTGTCCATTTTCATTACTGCCGACTCATAAACAGAAGACTCTGCTGCGGCTCTAATAGCTGCTGTCTTGTTCATCCCCATATGGGCTGGTTGGTTAATGTGGTTCTTCTGGCTGGATAGCAAAAGCATTCACGATAGGTTGTTAAAGGAGCTTGATTAAAGGTATAGCAATTTAGGAAATAGCAGAAGGCTTCTCATTCAGCCTTAATTTGGTCATTTGCATGGATTTGTTCCCTGTGATTGTTTTGAATGATGTAATTGGGTGTTATTTTCTCTATGGGAGCGCTTTATCTATTCCAAGGAAGTGCTAGCTACAGTGCAAACATGCATCCGTGGGTTCTGCTTTTTCCCTGTCCTGTCTCCAGGAATAACCATCAACCACAAGGCTGGTGAGCTCCTTGGATCCTGGTTTCCAGCAACCTGTGGCCTGGGGACGTGCTGAGCCAGACGTGAGGTTCAGCTCCTGCTCAGAAGCCCCGTTCTCCACGAGTCTGATCTCTTTCTGACCTTGCACGCAGTTCTGCCTCTCACATCACCCTGTTGCAACAAGTTTGACAAGCTAATTAGGGGTGTGTGTGTGCAGAGAAAGCATTTCTTTTGGTTTTGCACTCAAACCCATGAAAACAGCTCCTGAACTTCAGACCTAGCTATCTCCCATGGTGCTGGTGGTGGAAACCAGGGGGTCGCATCCTTCCCCTGCCCCCTGGGGGGGCGCTGGCCGTGGTGGTACCCAAAGCCCCCTCCCCGGGCGAGGCGGGGAGCTGGCATCGGGTGGTGTCAGAGCCTCCCCGCGTGCGCCAGCTGATTAGAAAGCAGAAGAATGGCAAGAGAAAATGAAAATGGGAAGGAGCTTGACAGCCCATGGAGAGGTATTTCAGCTGCAATACAAAACATTTGGTGGTAATTATAGAATAACCTTCATTTAAATGCAAATAAGCCTGTAATTAAGATAAGGGCTCTGTCATTTGCCAGTATTCCTCCTTCACTCCCTTGCCTGCCATGGGTTTTGAGATGTTCCCCATCTCGCTGCGGAGCTGCCTGTTTGCCCGAGGGCTCCCGTGGCAAGGGACGGGGGTGTGTGGGTGTCACCGAGATGCAAATCTCCCCCCTGGGCCGTGCTGTTGTCTGCACCAGGCACATGATACTCAGCAGGGGCTGCAGGTGCAGAGCTCCTGTGCTGTGTCTGGGGAGAGCCTGGAGCAGAGCTTGGAGTCAAGTTCCAAAACTGACCATGGCGGTGGCCACTTCCCACTGCAAAGCTGCTTGCACCTCACCTCTGCATAGAGAACTTCCAGCTTTGCTTGCATCTGGGGCTCCACTAGGAAGAAAAGATGCTTCCAAGATGCTAGGAACTCGATAAAGATGTATTGCTAGGTTGAGATGGAGCGAATTGCACGTGTACTTCCAGACACGGTGTAATAATCATATTCTGGCACTCCATCCTGGAAGTATCAATGTCACCAGTGCTGAAAAACCTGCAGATGATGACTTACACAGATTTTTTCCAATAATACTTGGGGAGGCAGCTTCCTGCAGGTGCTTGCTGGGAGCCCTTGGGTGCTGCAGCTTGCAGGGGGGCTCCCTGCTGCCCCGCTCCCATGGGGACGGGCACCAGAGCACGGCGAAGCTCTAGGAACAGCCATCGCTGGAAAGGTTAGCCAGCAACCTTTGCTTAAACTGTCTCAATCTGTATGAAATGTTATCTCTCCGCCTGACTAAAGATATGTGAGCCGAGGGAGCGGAGATGCTCCCAGATTGTATTTATCTAGCCCTTTGAAAGGGCGTTTGAGAAATTAACTCGGCAGCTTAGGAGAACTTTAATGTTTCGATAAGTGGCTGGAGCTGCGTCTCCGCTTGACACCCGCCATGGAGCATCTCCATCCCGCTTCGGAGACGGCAAACTCCCTGTGCTGGCACGTGAAAGCTGCCAGTCCCTGGTGATGCTGGTGTCCCTTCTTCCTTGGCTCTTCCCCCCCCATCCTGCTGGGAACCGGCCCTTCTGTCTGGATCCGTCCCTCGCAGCTGGGAGCGGGTGATGCTCGGGCTGAGCCGCCTTCCCCAAGGCCATCTGCATTGCAGATACCCACGGAAATGCTGCCTGGCTTATTCATTTATTCATTTTCTCTTCTCAGGCCTTTTCTGGAGACTTCTGCAGGTGGCAGGGGAGGAGGGGAAGGGCTGGGTGGGCACAGACCCCATTTTGGTGGGAGTGGGGGTGACTCTGTCCTGCTCTGGGAGTGGGGACAGGGGTGCTGGCTTGGGATGATGTCCTTGGGGGGGATTTGGGAGCTAAGACTTGGCATCAACCAGAATTTTAGTGGCTCCTTGGGGTGGAAGCAGAGGCTTTAGAGGCAACCAGAGACAGCTGGCAGTGTTAAATGCTTTCCTCTGGACTTTTCCAGTAAGGCATCCAAGGGGAACATCAGGAGGACCTGGTCACCTCTAGGATGCAACGCTGAAAGGCCGAGCTTCTTTCCAATGCCAGCTGAGCAAAGGAGGTGGGAGAGGCTGGAGCGTGGGCTTTCCCTGCTGGAGAGGACCAGGGAAGTTACTCCTGCTGGCCTGGATGATTTCTGTGCTCCCAGCAAGGTCCAGTCAGCCTCCATCCAAAGAGAGAACGTGGGGGAGTGCCAAGGTGCAATTAAACAGCACGAAGTACCAGCGGGTCACAGGGCTGCTTAGGAAACTAGCCAAAGGAGGGAGGAAAAAAAAAAAGAAAAAAAGGAAAGGGCAATTTACTGGTGAAAATGTTCTTGAATATACAAAGAATAGTCAACATACCTCTGCTTTTAATATTTGATACCTGCCTATGAATAATTCACCTAAATGTACCGCCAGCTCGGTGACCTCTGAAGTGATGCTGCGTGCACCGGGGGAGCAGAGTGCAGGTTTGGGATGACGGCGGCGTTGTAATGGTGAAGGGGATGAAGGGGCCCTGGGGAAGAGCCCCGCGCTGTTCCCGCTGCCCACGAGGTGGCAGCCGGTGCCCACGCAGGCACCAGCACCCCTGCACCCAACAGGGGGAGAAACATCTCACCTTGGCCCAAACCCGGTGTGCAGGGCTCCTTTAGGGCACCTGAGGTCATGGGGTGCTGGTGTCCTGCAAGGGGAGGTGGGAAGGATCCTGCTTCTGCACCGCTTCAGATGGACCGGGGAGAAGATGCTCTCGGGATGTCAAACCCCAGAGAGCTCAGAAGTGCCCTGCTTCAGCTGGTCGGGGGCAGGATTAGTGCCAGAAATAAGACCAAGCTTGGAAAGGGTGAGCGTATCTGCAAGCTGCTGCCTCCCTGGGGGCACCCTCCCAGCACAGCACAGCCCCTCCGTCGTCCTGATCCCCCGGGGGATGCAGCTCACGCCCGTTCCCTCCTGGATGTGGGCAATAGACCTGCTGGTGCACACTGGCGAGGAGCTTTTTCTACGCAGGAGGGGAGCCCCGTGTCCCTGGGGAGGCATTGCCAGCGATGCCAGGGGGTGTTACCATCATTAGCTGTCTAATTGCGCTCCCAGGCTGAGCGTGGGTCTTGCCGTTGGGCTCCTGATGCTTTATTGATTACTGTCACTTGTAACACTTCATTTTCTCCATTTCCTCCAACTCTAAGTGGCTGATTTATTTTTTCCTTCCCTCCTCACTGCCCTTCTGAAGTCGCTTTAAGGGCTTAGCCGTGATTTCCTACGCGTTAAATCTCTATCGAAGGGGAAAGCGGAGCCGGGGAAGGACCTGGCACACAACAGGGATGCAGGATGCTCTGTGAGGGTCTCCCCTGGGGCAGGCGGGGGGAAAGTGGCTCTGCTTGCTTTCCAGGAGGTCACAGCTCCCTTTTAATGCACGAAGGGTGACCCCATCCCTCCCTCACCCACACCATGGGCAGCGAAGGAGCCGCAGCACGGCAGAGGGCAGCAAGCCCCCACTCAGCCAGCCCATCTCAGGTGCCCCCCCGAGCGTTGCCCCCCTTGCTACAATAGTTCATGCGCTACAAACAGGCCCAATTACAGTATTGATCTCCTACACGCTGGGAGCTGATGGTAGGTCCCTCCCCAGCTGGCTTGGTAAACAGAGCTCTCCATCAGCAGGCACTTCATGAATGTCACACAGCAACTTTCTCATCATCTCCCCACGGCCGGGGCGGGCGGCTCCCGGGAAGGAAGAGGCGAGCCATCTTGGGAAGGATAGCAAGAGACTGGCTCTCCTCTTCCCTTACCACCAGGTGTTTTCTGAAGTCCTAAACCTGTCCTAAAGAGGTGGGAAAGCTGCTCCCTGCTCTGGTTTAGGAGGAATCGTGCTCAGGTTTCCTGTAACTGCAGTCAGCGTGCATCGCTTGGGCTGCCCAGAGGGGTAAGCGGTGTGAAGGCGAGATGGGTCAGGATGGAGAATCAGCTTTTCTTTTTTTTTTGCCTGCATCTTGTACCCCAAAATGAAAATGCCTTGCTCTGAGTGGGTTTCATCATCACAAAACTGGTGTTTTTGGTAAGGAGGGGGGAACTGTTCAGGCTGATTTGATTTGATGCATGCCAGGCTTTATTGCTCTCGTGGCTAAGCTGAAATATTCCATGACTTGCAAAGCCCTGGCTAAAAGGCAGCTCCCTGAGGATGAGGGAGCTGAATATCCTTCCTGGAGTGCTGGATGTGCAGCATAGTCATGACCTAACAAGTGTGACATATGATGGGTGGATGAGACCTGCTTTTTTATTGCTGCTGGTGCACTGTATGGGAGACCTTTACTGGGCAGAAACCTTATTCAGGGGAAGGCGAGAGTCACTTTCTCACTTAACCCTTCTGGTTGTCCCATGCTGCTGAGGAAATAGGTTTGTTTGCTTGTTTATTTATTTATTTTTGCCTTAAGGGTTTATTTGTAGGGGCAGCTCTGCAAGAAATCTGCCTCCCTGCCCTGTCCCCATGCAAGAGATGCTGCAGAATGAACGGAGGCTTCAGGGGTGGCGCGCAAGCTCCAGCGAAGCCCACTGCACCACATTGGCTGCGTATCATAGCCACCAAAAGTCACTTCTATTAAAAAAGAAGAGTACGGAGCCTTGTTTTCACGAAGTCCAATTAGAAATACTGCGAGAGGGTCCAGAGGTATCCTCCTGTCCTCGGGGCGGGATGCAGGAGGAATGCAGAGCAGGGCTGCGCAGCCGCCGTGCCCGCTGGTGGGAGCGATCTTCTGCAATTCAATTCAGCCTGGTGTCCCTCAGCTGTTAATATCCATTATCAGAGTGTCTGCAGCACAAGGTGACAAGGACAGACGGGGAAAGGGACAGGAAAGCCTTCTTTTTGGTTTCTGGGTGTGCTTTTGCATCCGCTAGATTAAGTGGTCCCCAGTTGGCTGCGCAGCCCTGCTGGAACATGGCAGCTGCCTCTGGAAAGGGTTGGGTTGAATTTAGCATGACTCCTGGTATGCTCCTGGCTTAAATTTTTATTAAATGGCTGCAGGAGGTGTCAGATGAAGGGCAGATGTTGGGCGTTGATGTCTGCTTGGTGGTGAGGTCCTGCTCTCGCTCCTTTGGGGCAGGAGGGTGCTGGTGGTCCTGCTCGAGGCACATCCTTCCCTCAGAAGTCTTCCCAGAAGACTGCTCTGGCTTTGCAGGTTCCTTGGGTAAGGTCAATAAGAACAAGCCAACGGGATGGCTGTTTTGGTGGGGGGACCCACCAGCAAGGCCAGCACACGTGTAGGACTGAATGCCCTGCTTGTATTCTTCCAGCGTTTCAATTTGCAGCCAAATCGTGAGAGTTGGATGCCGAGAGAAATCCATAGTTGCCATAACAACCAACAAACTATAATTAGTCAAAGAGTTGAGAAGAGGGGTCCGAAGAACAAATGGAAAAAGGAGCTGCTCTTGGAGGGATGCTGATAGAGATCAGAAAGCCTGGTTGCGAGCCTGTTACAGGAGAACTAATCTCTCCAGACGCCGCGCGGTCTTTAGGCCCCCAGTGGAGTTGTTTGAAGCCTTATAAACTCTGGGTTTTCTGATGTTTTCACTCGTGGAGGACACAGGAATTAGAATCGCCCCATGCGCCAAGGCTGTCGCCTTTGAGGCGTGGGATTGGGTTGTGCTGGTGGGGCCGGGCAGGCTGGCGGGGGGGTGCGGAGGCTTTTCTTGATCCAGAGAGGTGGGGAGGAGGATGTGAGGAGGCAACAGAGCTCGAGGAACCCGGCTGAGCTGTGGGAAGGAGTCCTTTAGCTCGGCGGATAGGTGAGGAGCGATGCTTTGACACCACTGAGCAGCCAAAAGGTTCCTTCCTGTGATACGGGAAGGGCAAACCTCACCTTTGTGCAAGCAGCAGAGCTGGCTTGAAATGCCTCTGGCATTGAAATTTCAAGCATCTGGCTTGAAATGACACCGATAAATGGCATAAAAATGCATGCTGAGGTGGCTTAAGCGAGGTGACTTCCCTCCCTCGTGGGCAGGGGAGGAAGGCACAGCCCGTCCTCTGCAGCCGGGCACCCAGGGGTCAGGGCTGAGCTTCCCAGAGGTTTGTGCTCATACCCGTCCCAGATGATGGGGAACCTCCTTTGCTGGCTGTCCCAGTGCTGTGCAGCTCTTGCTGAGATGTGGCTGAGCATCCCGGCTCCCCTGGGGTGGAGGAGCAGAGGGCAGCCTCCCGGCGGCTTGAGCTTTGGGCTGACACACAAATTGCCGCTCCTCTCCGGTGCTGCAGCCTCCAGGACTTGGCTTGCTATTGGAAATTGTTAGCAAAGCTCCAAGAAGCAGCAGAAACAGCTCTGTGAAGCAGTCCCGTGGTGATTTAGGTCAGGATTTAGCAGCAAAGTCCTCTCACGGGCTCTGGGACAGCTCAGCACCTGATTTTCAGCGTGGCCGGGTAGGAGCCTCGCTGCTGTTCAGTGCCCCAGTTCTGCCAGGTGAGCACCAGCAATAAACCCTCACGTGGCGTGGGGAGAGCTAATTAGTTCAATCAGGACCTGGGGTGGTGCTGGCCGGGCTCTCTGCCCTCTTACCTGCCTCTGCAAGGCTCTGCAGCCCTGCGTGCAGGGGCCGGAGGCAGGCAGGCAGCATCCACGTGGGAAAAAGTCATGCTAGCATGAAAAAATACCCCTGGAACACCTCACAGACAATATAGAACAAAAAAATATATTATAATATGTCTGGAATACAATAGAAGCAAAATCTCCTGGCAGCAAACATTCATGCACTTGACTGCCAAGAAAAAAGGACCTTACAGAAGATGAGACATGAAAGGGATCCCTGCACAAAAACT